GAGGAGGAGGAGAGTGTGGTAAGGAGGCGTATTGGTCGAAGTAGAGGAAATGGGTGTGGCATATCTGCCACACACACCGACCTACACTCCTTCTCTCCATCTCCCCCTCCCTCCCTCCCTTCCTCACTCCCTCTCTCCCTCTTTCTCGCCCACTCTCACGTGGTCTCTGCAGCATTGCGTTGCTAGGCCACTAATTGACCCATCGTCAAGGTGACTGGTTATGTTGCACACGGTCGCATGCACCTCAACTCACCGTCTCTCTAGTGGTCCGGACACCAACATTTGGCCTTACACAGTGAGAAGCACAAAATATGTGAGTGTGCATGGATGGATGGGTTTGCCTTGGAGTAGATGATACTGCTACACGCGTTGGTGAAGTAGATTGAATGGGAGTGTAGTGGTCGGCATTTGCATATGTGCAGTTTTGGTGACAAACATGGAACATTTCCTCCCTCCTCCCTACACCAATGGCTACCTCCTTCCCAGTAGGCAATTCCGCAGCATTGTGGTGAGCATGTGGTTGGGTTGTGGTTATGTTGGTGGTGGCAATCCAAGTGGCTGGTGTAGGTGGGTGCAGTACAGAAGAGGTGTCGCCAAATAGAAGGGAGGGAAGCGTTGAATGGCAGCTGTCGTCGTACCTGCGTTGGGATGCTTGGCCACGGTGTCGCCTGCCCAATCCAAGTTGACTGGTTGTACATGCGCAACAGGTAGTGCATGTAGGAATGCGAACAGGTGGATGGGCACTGTAGACCTGATGGATGGAAGGAAGGAAGGGACGCATTCGTCTGCGAATGCTAGTGGTTTTGTAAAATACGCTCAATATAGAAAAGTGGAGCATAGGAGATGGATCTCATTGTCTAAGCAACAGTGGCAGCAGCAGCAGTAGTAGTAGGAGCGGCAGTATGTTTGAACAACTGGTTGGGAGTGAGGGAACTGCATTCTGCTTGCAGCACTGTTGCTAATGTGGTAGTAGTAGTAGTAGTAGTAGTAGCAGTAGTAGTGGGTTTACTGTCGTGAGCAATGCGTTGCAGTGTCGATCTCAACGGCGTGGACTTTGACTCGTGGCGAATTGCAGCACTGCTTCCACTGAGTGAAGGCGACGGAGTGAGGACTGTGTGGTAGGGTGATGGTTGAAGGTTGGATGCCGTGGTGGTAATGTGCAAGGTGAGACGTGGTGTTGTAGGGAGGAGCGCAGCAATGCTGTATGAGGAGTGGAATGAACAGTGAATGCGGACAGGTGGGTGCACAATGAGATGCAGTGTGGAGACGGATGAATGGATGGTGTGGGTGAAAGGAAGGGAGGTGTGGAAGGAGGGAGGGAGGGAGGGAGGGAGGATTGAATGGGGAGGGTAATGAGTTAGAAGTGGGTGGCGATGTGGCAGTAAGTCAACTTGATTGTGTCCACGTCATAAGTGGAGGGTTATGAATGGTGAGTGTTGTTGTAGTGTGAGAAGTTGTAGTAGTTATGTGAGGAGCATTGACCAGACTCACCTCATCTTGCATCCTGTGCAGTCATAAGAAGCGCAACGAAGGGAAGGCTTTGTATGGCACTCGCGAGAAAGCAGTATGCGTGAATGAGGGATGGAAGTGTGTTGGTAGTGGAGGGATGTTTGGTTGTATGGTGGCAATGCGGGAAGAAGTGGGTGAGTGGAAAGTGGTGGGTGTGTGGGTAGGTGGGCGGGAGGTGGTAGTGTAGGAGTGAGGGAGACGGAGTGATCGTGCACACCCCTTAGACCTCGGTTCAGTGATGGCATTTGCAACTGTCGGAGGTGTGGCTTGAAGTGCACGTGAGGAGCAGTGCTACCCTTGTAGCATTGCACTTGGTGGAAGTGGTGTGGGCGCGGTGATCAGTGGAAGGCGACACAAGGGGTGAACGGCTAATGACTTGTTCTTCGAAGTGCTGTCTTTGACGAGGTAGCAAGTGGTAAATGTGGTAAATGAGTTAGGACTGCATGAAGAGGAATGTTGAGGTGTGTGTATCGATGTCCGAGACGTGGCCACCTTATCCACCACCCTTAACATTCACCTCCTCCCTTTCTTCCCCCTTCGTCTTCTTCTTCTTCCTCCTCCTCCTCCTCCTCACAGCCTTGCACCCCAATTCTTGTGCCAATCTGTTTTTCGCATCACGCATTCTTTGCTCCTCGCTTCATGCATTCACCCCACCACACCGCATGCACCAACCTCATCCACAATGGACGTGTGCGTGCTGCGTGTTGA